TGGTTCAGGTCATACTTAGAAGGGAGAGGTTATTATGTGAGTATAGGAGAGCATAAGTCTAAGTGGACGTCCATGACATGCGGAGTCCCACAAGGCTCAATTCTTGCACCGCTCTTGTTTAGCCTGTATATGCTTCCACTAAGTCAAATAATGAGAAAGAACCAAATTGCCTATCACAGCTATGCTGATGATACCCAGATTTACCTAGCCTTATCTCCAAATGACTACAGCCCCATTGACTCCCTCTGCCAATGCATTGATGAAATTAACAGTTGGATGTGCCAGAACTTTCTTCAGTTAAACAAGGAAAAAACTGAAGTCATTGCATTTGGAAACAAAGATGAAGTTCTCAAGGTGAATGCATACCTTGACTCTAGGGGTCAAACAACTAAAAATCAAGTCAAGAATCTTGGTGTGATTCTGAAGACAGACCTTAATTTCAGTAGTCATGTCAAAGCAGTAACTAAATCAGGATACTATCATGTCAAAAACATTGCAAGAATTAGATGTTTTGTTTCCAGTCAAGACTTGGAGAAACTTGTTCATGCCTTTATCACCAGCAGGGTGGACTAATGTAATGGTCTCCTCACCAGCCTTCCCAAGAAGACCATTAGACAGTTGCAGCTCATCCAGAACGCTGCTGCCTGACTAGAGACTAGAACCAGAAAATCTGAGCATATCACATCAGTCCTCAGGTCCTTACACTGGCTTCCTTTAGGATTGAGGATTGATTTTAAAGTACTTTTACTAGTTTATAAATCACTCAATGGCCTAGGACCTAAATACATAGCAGATATGTTCACTGAATATAAACCTAACAGACCACTCAGATCATTAGGATCGAGTCAGTTAGAAATACACTGATTACACTGATGCTTGCATATAGAACAGCCTCAGGCTCAGCACCCGCCTACTTCCACCAGGGCCGTGCACAGACCTTTTGGGGGGCATGTGCTGAAACTGACAAAAAGGACACCCTTCTGTGAATAATGGTATCTTAATGTGGCATGTTGGAGTCTGACTGTCCCACATTTGTGCTTGATTTTATTTAGAAGACAAAATGATATTTTGTGCATAAAAAGTAATGAAAAACTTTTTGACCGCAGCATTGGACCAATGTTTCTTTTTCACGGCATTTATAAACATGAAGAACGCAGAAGATATCAGATTTTAGATGACTGTTGTTGTTTTTTTAACTGACAGATGTTGATTAATATTGTCAAATCGGAGTCGATTGTTTCTGGAGACGCGTGCGTGGGTGTGTGCGTGATTGCGTGTGTGTATACGTGACGCATGGAGTGCGTGTTGTCCTGTAAGCTCCGCCTCCGTGAAACACTGACGCTCACAGTTCTTTGACTCTTTGTAGTGCAGATATTTATTTCTCTTAATCAGTGAAGTAAACATGGTCTGTTTCATACAGCGAACTCTGTCGTCTGTTTATTATGTTTGTGTGTCTGTGTGCATTTCTTCCCGAATGCAAGGTGTTCGTTCAGACGCGAGAACGTTGCGTCGCATTCAATGCTTTTTATTTTAAAAACAAGGCACATTTTATTGACTCTTGAAAAGCAAAAAAATATAAAAGCAATACGAGAATACATTTTTTAATCAATTCATTCATGAAAAATAAAACCGAAGCTATTACAAAGCTTTTCTTTCCAATATTGAAATGGAATTTCGTCTGTTACAAAAACGTATTTAAGCAGGAAAATAATACAAATACACAATTCTTACACTCACAAAAAAGGCACAGCCGGCAAAAATTATATGCAATATTAGAATGTTTGTGGGAGTGGGCGGGACTGGACACAGTCCTTGCATGGCTCTAATACAAAAACGCACACTAATGGCGACTGTAGGAAGCAAAAGCCGAATCCCGGACATTTTGGCCGATTTAGAAATCCTCACACATTTTTTAAGGTCCAAAAAGAGGACATGTCCGGGAATAAGAGGACGTATGGTCACCCTACTGGATGGTAATTTTGTTCTACGACGAGCTTGGTTACCTTTGATTAGGCTGTTCTCACGTGACAGAATGCTCTGATCACCCAGTTGTAAAGAAATTTTGAAATACGGGACAAAACATGATATTTTCGTAATAAGTCAGGACAAATAGAGCTGAAATACGGGACGGTCCCAGGAAAAACGGGACAGCTGGTCACCCTAAGTAACGAGCTATTTTTAATACCTTTCATTGGCTAAATATTAGTAAATCAGACAGACAGACGTAAAGGGTGACCAATAGCATTGATTTATTGAAGAAGAAAAAGAAAAAAAAGAAGAAAAAAGGGCACTTTGGAGTGTAAGGGCAAAAAGGGCATGTGCTCTGCACAGGTTGAGCCCTACCTGTGCACGTGCCTGTTATTCAGAATACTGTTCTGTTCAACCCCTAAATCAAAATATTCACTATTTCTAAACTAAATAAAACTAAAGTAATTCTATATGCTGAGACACAGGCAGCTGTAAAAAGTCAAGTTATTAAAGAAACCTTTTTTTCTTTAGATTTTTTATTTAAAACAAACAAAAAAATATTACACAAACGTGAAAGCACAATGACAGTGCAATAACCTATGAACAGCTGATTATGTGAATAGCTGATTATATTACAAAGATCACTAAAAACAAGTGGAAATAAACAGCAAGAGTGAGCACCTCCAGAAATAGTGAAAAGAAATGTCAAACATTTTTTTTAGCTTGTGTCGCACTTGACTAAGACTTCCATCTCTCTGATTAGGGTATTTTCTTGTATTTCTGTTTGTTGCTTACAGGTGACAGGGAGGTTTTTGTCAGGACTACACAGGTGATGCCAACGCTGTCAGGACATACAAACACAGTGAAACAATTTTACCTTTTTAGGTTGATTTACTCTTGGTTAGTTATGCAGTTAGGGTTAGCTTTGGTTAAAGGGATAGTTCACCCAAAAATGAAAATTGATGCCAATTTTCGTACGTGTTCAAAAGATAGTTCCAGTGGATGACGTAGGGCGTATGCATACTGTAAGCTCTGGTGAGAATACGCTAGACTCGCGAGAACCAAGTTTTGTTTACAGCAAAGGAAAACCAGTCTCCTCTTGGCTTATAAATCATCCAACATTTTTCTTTGCAAATCCTCGTTTTGTACTTCTAATTCATGACCAGTCTTTTGTTTTGCTCTCTCCTCTGCGCTTCCGCATTTGTCACTTCGTCCTACCTCATCCGTTGGAACGTCAGTCTCTCATGAACGCACGTACGACAGTTAGTGGAAGCTAGAGATTATGGTTTATAAAGTTCTAAATACAGATATTTTTCATGCAAATGCATCACTTCGCTTCAGAAGACCTTCATTAACCACCTGGAGCAGCGTGGAGCACTTTTTATGATTGGTAGATGCATGCACTTTTTTGGGCTTCAAAATCTCAACCCCCATTCATTGCCATTATAAAACTTGGAAGAGCAAGGACATTTTTAAAAATAACTCCGAATGTATTCGTCTGAAAGAAGAAAGTCATATACACCTAGGATGGCTTGAGGGTGAGTAAATCATGGAGTAATTTTTATTTTTGGGTGAACTATCCCTTTAAATACTTAAACATACATTCCTGCCTTCATGATATATCAGTGGCTTGTTCATCTGTTTAAACATAAGGGGTGAACATGATTAATCTCACCTGTTTTAAGCTTCCTTTTACAACAATCAGTTGCCCAAGCGCCCATGCAGGCACCAGTAGAATGGATGACAGGGCCAGTAACCAGCCTAGTGCATACGCCCAGTCCGGGTACACATACCAGCGGTTAAAAGTGAGGGGTTTGTACTTCACAAGAGAACAGACAAAAGACACCTGAGAATGGACAGAAGAGAAGGAGAAAGTTGTAAAGAATAGATGAGAAAGAAAAAGGAGAATGAGATCAGACAAATGTGAGAAATACACTAAAAAATGACTGTGAATTTAACGGTAAAAGACTGTAAAAATGCTACAGTAAAATCCTGTTAAATGGTTAACAGTAAATTCCCCTACTATATACAGTGAAAAACTGTATTGGACATTACATGTATTGGACATTAATTTTACGGTAGTATACCGTTTTTGGAAGTGAAAAAGACTGTATAATTTACAGTGAATAACCGTAAATTGACATTCCCAGAATTCCCTGCGTTACATTTCAAATTTGATGTTTTTTTGTTGAAATAACTATGTTTCTTCTTAGTTTTTTCTTATCAGTTTTGTATATTAGGGTTGTGTTTATGTAGTTAATAAAGTCTTACTTGTATCACACTTGACGTTGTTCATTGTTTGCTCATAACTGGAGTCACTTAATCATGCAGATTTATGCTACAAGCTCTGTGTAGAATTGTACAGTAAGAAAGTTATTTCCCTTAACCAGGAAATTAACGTTCTTAGAATTGACAGACAGTTGACCCTGAGAGGTCAAGTAAATATCTACAGCGGATCTAAATATTTATAATTAATTATAACTAGTTATGATTAATTATTCATATTTCCCTTATGAGCTGATTCGCAACATAATGTTGTTAAATGAATGTTTATTGCATTATTTCAGTTTCATGTGTGTTACCATGATGGTGTTTGGTGTTTGTGTGAATGACACTGTGCACCTTCTATATTTGTTACTATTTAAAGCTGCTTGTGATGGGCTTTGGTTCATCATGTGACTTTCTCATCACCACCTGCATTTGGTGGTTATCAGTGTATTACAAAGGTACAAAACAGATTTCAGTACTTCAATAGGTTGGTATATTAACATTATGTCAGTTTTTTCGGTAAAATTCCGGCAACCACAGCTGCAGTTTTTTTACCGTAAATTTTACGGATTTTTAATCCTACGATTTTTGTAATCCTACAACTAAATAATGACCATTAAGACATTTATATGCTTTTTGACAAATGTAAAAAAATCTGTGAAGATCAAACAGATGAATGAATGCAGAGACACTCACCAGAGACACGAGAGGAGTCAGGTATTTCCAGCACAGCATGAATATGTAATTGGGTCGTGAGTTGGTCATGTCTTCAATGACATCAAACATTCTCTCAGCCCCTGTGGTGTAGGGAAGAATTTAGCATCATGGACTTCACAACATGGTGTTTAGAATAATAGTATATGTCTTATTTTCTCCTAATTACAGTACCACAACACGACTAGGCAGGCTAAGTTTTTGATTACAGAAAGGTGTCATTGACCTATAAGTGTGGGCAGTCCTGTTTGAATTAATCTGGCTGACATCAGAAGGTTTTTTGGCAGCTTAGTTTTAATAAAAGGTCTTTGAAACTAGAAAGGAAGTTGTGGCTACCAATATACTACTAACATTATGCATTCATATTACAATTCTTTTATCTTTTAATCTTTACAATTCCTTGCTTCTTTTACATTACTTTTATCTCAACACATCAGGGAAATGCTATTCTTTATTTGAAGGTCAGTTTTTGTAGCTTCTTTGCTACTCACCAAAGCTCCAACCCATGGCCAGAGACTCAAACACACAGAGGAAAAGAAGACAGGCTCCACTGCAGGCATAGTAGTCAAACAACTGGAATACATACATCCCCCCCTGCAGGTCACAATACAACATTACAACTCAAGCAGAACAAATGTGTTGAATTCAACAAAAAGGCTATGTTTGGAATGTATACTGCAGTATACTGCCTTCTATTTTCAAAAGTAGTAGCTTAACAGTATACAGCATACAAACAAGTTATACAATGTTGTTACATATCTGCATGCTTAAAGTCACCATGAAATCAAAATGGAAAATTCTTAATTTTTTAATGGAATACTGTAGTGTTTATTATAAATAATTTATCCGTGCACTTCATTATTTTTTTTAAATTAATTTTGCCCTCGTAATCTTTAATCAAAAACGTTAACCTCCCCTCCCCCTCAAAACGACTCATCTTCTCTTTCGGTCACGAGTAGGGGTGTAACGATTCACTCGTTTTCTCCATGCATCGATTGCAAACTCTGATGATGCAATGCATCGATCTGAAACATTGATTTTTGAATCGTGAATAGCCGATTTCGGACTGTTATCGATTTAAAAAGTTAGAATCGAATGAATCGCGATTTCTTTAGCGATTCCGTGCTTTCAAAATATATACACATTAAATTACTACAAGCACGAATTAATGGAAGAATACATACACACATACATAAAATTATTGTATTTGACATTTCTGTCACTTCTGAAATGATGGCTACGCCCCTGGTGTGACAAAATGTTAGCCTATACATATTACTTTTAAAGCTCTTTTTTAAAAACTTGGCTTACATAAATTTCTGCATATGCCATGTCATGCCATAGCATCATTAAACTAGCATCTAACAATGGACAAAAGTGTTTTTATTCTCTAACCTATGGTTCTGTAAACATGCTGTGTAATTTGCCCCCTGACTAGGCATTTAAATAATTTAGAGGAATCATCTAAATAATCCGGTGAATGCACTTAAATAATGCAGAATCGAATCGAATTTAATTGTGAATCGAATCGTTCTGAATTTGCAAACATCGTTCTTGAATCGAATCGAAAACCTATGAATCATGAATTGAATCGATTCGCTGTCTACCCAAAGATTCACAAATTGCGATTTCTTTAGCGATTCCGTGCTTTCAAAATATATACACATTAAATTACTACAAGCACGAATTAATGGAAGAATACATACACACATACATAAAATTATTGTATTTGACATTTCTGTCACTTCTGAAATGATGGCTGCGCCCCTGGTGTGACAAAATATTAGCCTATACATAATACTTTTAAAGCTCTTTTTGTTAAATCTTGGCTTACATACATTTCTACATATGCAATGTCATGCCATAGCATTATTAACCTAGCTTCTAACAATGCACAAAAGTGTTTTTCTCTCTAACCCATGGTTCTGTAACCATAAATGCTGCTGTGTAATTTGCCCCCTGACTAAGCATTTAAAGAATTTAGGGGAAGCATTTAAAGAATCCTGTGAATGCACTTAAAGAATGCAGAATCAAATCGTTAATCGAATCGTTCCGAATTTGCAAAAATCGTTCTTGAATCGAATCGAAAACCTATGAATCATGAATTGAATCGATTCGCTGTCTACCCAAAGATTCACAGCCCTAGTCACGAGCTATGGCGCAAGGGCGGAGCTAGTGACGTGAGGGGTAAACACTGGGATAAAGCTGATGCTTCACTTCATAGCACTGACTGTTGCGTTTGATAAGGATCACACCAACACAGCTGGTAACATCAACTTATTGTATCTTTTGACTTAACCTCTCTGTTTCAGACCCCAGTAAACGAACACATACATTGGTCAGGCATGACAGAATGCTTTCAGCACAATCAAACTCGATGCATCACTGAACACTAACTCAATGTATTATCAAACAACACTTGTGTGAGAAAACAACAGTGTCCCTCTGTGTCAGAGGGAAAGTGTCATGACTGAAACTAATATAGCACAATACAGATTGTTTCAAAGCAGCTTCACAATAATAAACAGAGAACAGTGTCAATTATGAGCTTCAGTTTCATCTGTAAAGCAGCTCTACAGATGATGTTTTATTCGTTACCCCTAAACATTGAAAAGATATTAGGATATTATGACAACATTACTCTTAGGACATTGCAAACTAATTTTTTTCACAAATATGACTTAACCTGATGGAGGACGCGTTCAGTCATTCAGGCAGTCTCTCTCTCATGCGTGCGCGCTGTTTAGGCATGTTTTGTGCCATTGATCATCGTCATCCTTAATAAATAAAACATTTATTAATGCTTGGGTGTTGGCTGTGAATCCAGTGGAGAGAAATCCCCCACCACTAACTGCAAACTGGCATTCAGATCTGCCTCCATTTTGTTAGCAATGCCCCAGCTTCCAACAATCCAATCAATTCCCGAAGGACGAAATCAAGTCCCGCCCTCTCATTTCAGATGCCGTTTCACTCGGATATACGTCACAGTAGAGAAGAAAAGACAAACGCAACTTCTGTTTCATGCCGACTTTAAGTTTGATTTTTTTGAAAGGCAGCTCATATTTTTACTTTTAATTAAATAAGGAAACTTATTATTATTTTTTAACTCATTCTATACATTTCAGTGTCTTTCTTCCTCACACACACAAACCTCTGTAACCATGACAAGTTGGCTGAAGAAGCAAAAAAGACAGAAAAGCAGGAGGAATATTTCTCGACGTCGAGCTTTGCGCAGCACCATGGGGTACAGATCCATCACTGATGTCATGAAAACTTCCATCGCAACAAACTTTAAGGAGTGTAGCAGAAAAAAGTGCATTAGAATAGTGAAACACTTTTGAGTGAAACACGTGAGTGAGGTTTAACATGTCTGTGTCCAGGTTTGAGTTTTAGCTCACCTGTGTATCTAGCCCTAGCAAAATAATCATAATGAAGAAACAAGCAGCCCACAGTTGTGGACAAGGCATCATAGCTACTGCCTGTGGATAAGCTATGAACGCTAATCCTGGACCTGAAAGAAAGAAAGAGAAAAGAGAGAATCATTTGTTTAGTATTTTAGTGTTGTAAAGCTTTGCCTTCTTTCTTTCTTTCTTTCTTTCTTTCTCTTTCTTTTAAGAATGTTGCAGTACCTGATTCTGCCACCTCGTCAATGGGGACACCCTGTTTTTGAGCCATGAAGCCCAAGACTGAGAACACAGCAAAACCTGCTACCACACTGGTACCACTGTTCAGAAGGCAAAGCCATAAGCTGTCCCTGATAAGGAAAACATAAATTATACAATATATACATACACATGTGCAGAAATCACTGTGCCTGTGCCTATATTATTTTCTAAATAGAAGAGAAAAGAGAAGGGCCAAACACCGAACTCTGTGGTACCCCATTGATTAGTTAATGTGACAGACATTCCTATGCCCCCAAATATATGCTGAAGATCAACCTTTGAAATAGATACCAAAAGATACTGGAAATAATACAATAATACTGAACTAACCTGTAGCAGTTGTTGTTATATTTATTGTAGCTGCCTAATACAGTAAGAGAGGCTGTACCCAAAGCATAGGAGAAAAAGATCTGAGCTCCTGCTTCCATCCAAACCTAAATGCACAAGACAAGTGAGTAAGTACTTGGGGAAGGGCTCAAGAAATTGTAATATGTTAATGCTATTTTGATAACAGCAAATTGTAATTTTTTTTTTGAAAATTTTTGAATGAACCTACATTTTTTAAATGTTCTTTTGCTATTTACAGAGAAAACATAATTTTTATTGGTTGTGAATGCAGTTTAAATAGACTACGTGAAAAAAACAAAACAAAAACATTTCTTTATACTATCAGCTGATCTAGTCCTTGTATAGGGGTTATTAAGTCACATGCCAGGACAGGGCAGATGGTGGGGTTACCTGCGGGTCAAAGAGACGGGCCGGTTCAGGGTACAGGTAAAACACAATCCCCTGCAGAGCTCCAGGAAGAGTCAACCCACGAATTAGCAACACCAGCAGCATCACATAAGGAAATGTAGCTGTGAAATACACCACCTACAAGCACAATAAGAAAGGGCCAAAATGATGCATCTGTCCCCTCAAAAAATGTCTTACTATTTTCATATCAGTTAAAGGGGTGGTTGATTGCGATTTCACTTTTTTAACGTTAGTGTGTAATGTTGCTGCTTGAGCATAAACAATATCTGCATAAACAATATCTGCAAAGTTACAAAGCTGAAAGTTCAATGCAAACGGAGATATCGTCTTTTAAAATTCTGGCAGTTTAATGTCTGCATCTCTCTCTCTCTCATTCAGCTCAGCTCCAACAATGAACTGTTCCAATTATACACTTATTTTCACATAGGGGAAGTCGTGGCCTAATGGTTAGAGAGAGGTTGCGAGTTCGAGTCTCAGGTCCGGCAGGAATTGTAGGTGGGGTGAGGGAATGTACAGCACTCTCTCCCAGCAAAAATGGCTGCCCACTGCTCCGGGTGTGTGTTCACGGTGTGTGTGTGTTCACTGCTGTATGTGTGCGCTTTGGATGGGATAAATGCAGAGCACTAATTCCGAGTATGGGTCACCCCACGTCACATAGCTATGAGAAGCGTTATACATGGACGCGTGTGCAGTTGCCGTACTGTATTGAAGCTTTAATCAGGATAAAACCGTATATTAAAAGCTAACATAAGCAGTATTTACAAACAAAACAAAAAACATAGGCCTACCATTAAAAGCCGTGCTTGCACATAGGGATGCGGCCGGAGATCGGTATCGGCCGATAATCACATTTTATGACTCGATCGGTACTCACTAACTTGGCCGATCTCACGAACCGATCGCAATTTGATGACGTCAACGCGTGACGAC